CTGAGTGTCTCTTGTGTGGGACTGCTAGTGAATCCCATAGCAACCTGTTTTTTGATTGCTGGTACAACAGACAATGCATTAAGATTGTGGCTTCTTCGCTGGGTGTTAGTGAGATTAACTTCAGTCTGGCAAGATCTTGGAAACACTGGTATAGACAGGGGTCGGATTTGATTCAAAAGAGAGTGTTCCTGGCTGGTTTTACAGCTTGTGTATATCATGTGTGGCAGGCTAGGAATCACGTCTACTAGAATAGAGCTGTGATTATCCCTCAGAAGTTGTGTCGTTCAGCCTGTTTGGAGATCCTGGACAGATTACAGCAGCTTATTGATTGCTCGTGGTCTAGGAAGCATTGCAAGTGGCTGCAGCTTCTAAAAGGAAGAATTCCCTAAGTTCTTCCCTGTGCTCTGTGCTTCTGCTTCTACTGTCTGTTCAGGTTGTTTTCTTTGAACTTTTTGATGCATCTTGTTCTGGTGCTGGTTGTCAGTGTGCCTGCTCAGTGCAAGTCTGTAGCTGAAACTTGTGTAGGTCTTTTTCTTTTGCTGTAGTGTTCAGGTGGTGTTCTGGGAGTAGATTTGCTCTGAGGTTTCTGTGGTGCTGGGATGTGTTGTTCTTGCTCAGCTGGCTGCCTCTGTGTGCTGTCAGGACCTGGTTTTTCTGCTTCTAGGTGTGTTAGGTGCTAGGCAGGTGCTGTTTTGCGTTCTCTGGTTGTGTTCCTTCTCTGACATGGTCTCTATTGCTGCAGCTTCTATTTAGTGGTCTTGGTGTCAGTTCAGGTGCTGCAGGGTGCTGTTTTTTAGTGCTAGTGTTGGCTGCTGTTTTTGGTTTTGTTTTCTTTATAGGCTGTTTTAATGCCTGTGTTTTAGCTAGGTTGTGATGTCTTGTTTTTTTTTTGTTTTGGACTTTGTCCTAGTCCTTGCTTGAAGTACCCTTCATAGAAGGTGCCTTCTCGCATGAGGTTAGGTAGGTTTTTTTTCCCTCTCTCTGTGTCTGGCACCCTTCCTAGAAGGTGGTCGGGGACAGGTTTGGGAAGTAGTGGTGTTTGTGTGCCTTCGGGCTTGTGTAGGTTTTGGAGGTTTACAACTTTTTTGTTCTAAGTTGTATTTTTTCATTCTTTGGTAATAAAATTTTCTTATTTACCAAAAAAAAAAAAAAAAAAAGAATCAAATCAAAGTCAAACACATTCAAACAAAGCTTTTTGAATCAAATGAATGTCAAATGCATTCAACAAAGCTAATTGAATCAAATGAAAGTAAAATGCATTCAACAAAGCACTAAGGATAAGATTTAATTTATGTTATTTAGATACTATAAACTTCCTAAGGTTGTTAGGAATGTGTTTTAGTTAGTTAATTAGAGTTTGTTTAGGATTAGTTTTCCTATTTTAATTAGAAGTAGTTATTCTATACTACTTAGGATGCTTGGAGCACAAGGTTAGGGATTTGTCCTAATCCTGTTAGGAGTAGAATAAGGTAATTTTTAGTTTATAAATAAGGTGATTTCGTGGCTTTTAGAGTCATAGAAAATAATATTAATTTTACTACAAATTGTTTAACTTTGTTTAAACTTTTCTTTACTAGTTTTCTATTCAAGGAGTTGTTTTGATAATTAGAATGTTCAATTCTTAGTTCTCGAAGTAGTGTAAGTCTTGATCATTTAAATACTTAGTCCAAGGTGTAGTTTAAGTAGTTTGAGTAGTCTTGAATTCGTTCCAGGAGTGGTTGAATTACAAGTCATATCCGATTTGTTGTTCTTGATATTGTTCAACTTTCTTATAGAATTCGGAAGGCTTGTGTTACTTGTGTGATTTTAGATTCTTTATTGGGTTAAGAGGTTTGAATCCACATCAGCTTTTAGAATAAAATGAAAGTCAAATGCATTGAATAAAACTAATTGAATTAAATGATTGTCAAATGCACTCAACAAAGCTAATTGAATCAAATCAAAGTCAAATGCATTCAACAAAGCTAATTAAATCAAATAATAGTCAAACACAATCAAACAAAGATTTTTGAATCAAATGAAATACATATGCATTCAACGAAGCTAATTGAAAAGTCAAATGCATTTAACAAAGCGAATTGCATTAATTTAAAGTCAAACACATTAAAGAGATTTTTGAATCAAATGAAAGTCAATGCATTAAACAAAGCTATTTGAATCATATAAAAGTCGTACACATTCAAATAAAGCTTTTTGAATCAAATGAAAGTCAAATGCATCCAACAAAGCTTATTAAATCAAATGAATGTCAAATGCATTCAACAACGTTAATTGAATAAAATGATAGTCCAACATAATCAAACAAAGATTTTTGATCAAGAAAAAAGTCAAATACATTCAACAAAGCTAAATGAATCAAATGAAAGTAAAATACATTTAACAAAGGTTAATAAATCAAATCAAAGTAAAACAAATGCAAATAAAGCTTTTTAAATTAAATGAAAGTCAATTGCATTCAACAAAGCTAACTAAGTCAAATAAAAGTTAAACAAATTTAACAAAGCAAATTAACTCTTATAAAAGTCAAACACATTCAAAAAAAGTTTTTTGAATTAAATGATAGTCAAATGCATTCAACAAAGTTAATTGAATTAAATGTAAATCAAATGCATTCAATAATGCTAATTGAATTAGATTAAAATCAAACACATTCAAACACACTTTTTAAATTAAATGAAAGTCATATGTATTTAAAAAAACTAATTGAATCAAATGAATATCTATCACATTTAAACAAAGCTTTTTGAATCAAGTGAAAGTCCAATGCATTCAACAAAGCTAATTGAATTAAATGAAAGTTTTACACATTAAAAACAAAGCTATTTTAATCAAATGAAAATCAAATGCATTCATTAAAGCTAATTAAATCAAATCAAAGTCAAATTCATTCAACAAATCTAATTGAATTAAATGATAACCAAACACATTCAAACAAAAGTTTTTCAATCAAGTGAAAGTCAAATGTATTGTACAAACCTAATTGAATCTAATGAAAGTAAAAAACATTCAAACAAATCTTTATAAATCAAATGAAAGTCAAATGCATTCCACAAAGCTAATTGAATCAAATGAAAGTCAAATGCATTCCACAAAGCTAATTGAATCAAATGAAAGTCTAATGCATTCCACAAAGCTAATTGAATTAGAAAGTCTAATGCATTCCACAAAGCTAATTGAATCAAATCAAAGTAAATTACCAAAAAAAAAAAGAAAATTAATCAAAACAAAGTCAAACTCATTCAAACAAAGCTTTTTGAATCAAATGAAACTTAAATGCATTCAAAAGAGCTTATTAAATCAAATGAAAGTCAAATGCATTCAACTAAAGCTTTTTGAATCAAATGAAAGTTAAATGCATTCAAAAAAGCTAATTGAATCAAATAAATGTAAAAGCTAATTAAATCAAATGAAAGCTAGAGAGAGAAACCTAGAGAGAGAAACCTTCTTTCCCGCTCATTTTTTTTAGCAACCTTGATCATCAATGGCAAAGGGGAAAAAGAGTAAGAGAAAGAAACCTTCCAATTCAAAAATCAAGAAATCTCCCAATTCCACATCAAAGAAATAGAGTAAGACAAGGCCAAATACTCGGCATAATGTAAAAATGCAGAACATGGAATCAACAATGGAGATTAGCTTGGAGGAGAGTTGGCTTGCGGAAGAGGGTATGGAATAGAGGAAGATTAATCAAGTGTCTGAAGAAAAGAAACAACTTCATAAAAGCTAATTTGATCAATGGTTAAATATAATTGCTCGAGGGACGCCATTGATGGGTGGATCAGATGAGTTGGAGGAAGGTGATTTGTCTACCATTGCTTCAAGGTATGAAAATCCTACCCCCCCTATTGATGATTGAAAACCTAGATTAGGTGATTAATGAGGATAATCTTGCTTTAAATTTGAAGTTTCATGATATTTTGAGCCCTGTTCGGGAGCACCCTGTTTTTGCTTCTCTAAATTCTGATGAGGGAAATTTGGGGCAAAAATGGAGTGATATGTTCAAGGGTATTAGAGATGAGGGATTAGACTAATCTAATCATCAAATAAGGGTGCATGGCCCTAAGAACTATGGAGATAATAGTGTTAGGATAACAATGGAGGATATCGAACTGAAAATAAATTTTTGGCAGTCAACAATTGTCTGTTATGTTCTGGGCCTAAACCTCCCTCTCAGAATCTTGAATGGATTGGTGAGAAGATCTTGGGGTAGGTATGAGATTGACAAAATCTCAACATTGGAGAATAGGATTTTCTTGGAAGGGATAAGGCGTTAATGACGGGACCAATCTTCTTTAATAGGAAACCATTAATTGCTAAGAAATGGGAACCGGGTCTGAATCTTGAGAAGGAAGACATTCATGAAGTTCTTGTGTGGGTGAGATTACTAGGGCTTGACTTGAAATTTTGGGGGAAATCTTCTTTGATGAAAATAGCTGGCATTCTTGGAAACCCGATTAAAACAGACAAGGCTACTGCATCAAAAGAACTAATCAGCTATGCTCGTATTATTGTGGAAGTGAACATGAAGGAACCGCTACTAGAAGAGATTGAATTCTTGGATGAAAATGGAGATGTGGTAACTCAGGAAATCATTAATGAATGGAAGCCAATTAAGTGTTCTGTGTGCACTGGTATGAGGCATTCAGAAGAGCAATGTCCGAATCATAAAGTCCAAGCAAACAGGAGGGGAAGTTATGAAGATCTAGTTCAGAAGAGAGGGAAAGTCTAGAGACCTGTTTAGAAGGAACTAGCAATAAGGAAAGATCAGAGAAGTCATATTGAAGGTAGGGATCTTAAAATTCCAAACAATAATAGGGTGTGCCCTACTGTTTCTACAGGAAATAGGTTCAGTAGTCTTGAGAAACAGGAAGTGGAGGAGGTGATTGTTGATCAGGTTAATGTTAAGAAGGAAGGGAGTACTACTAGTCTTGGTGGGGTTCTATTATCTAGTGGTCAGATTGTGTATGGCAGGTTAGAAGAAGGGTAGTGCTTACACTCTTTACATGGATAAGATAGGATTTTGGAATGTGAGAGGCATGAACAAACCAGGGAAGCTGTGTGATGTGTTATGGTTCTTAAGACATCATAATATGGGTTTCTTTGGCCTGTTGGAAACAAAAGTAAGAGTGAAGAATTTTGGTAAAGTGTTTAATAATTTTGGGAGTGATTGGTCTGTGATTACTAACCATTATGTTAGCAAGTATAGTAGAATTTGGATTACTTGGTTGCCTAGTGTTTTTTCTGTGGATAGTTGTAGAATAGATTTCCAATTTATCCATGTTTGTGTTACTCATGTTGCTTTAAGAAAGAAGTTCTGGCTGACCATGGTCTATGGTCTTAATACTGCTCTAGAAAGGGAGAGTTTATGGGCTCAGATTGCACAGATTGCCCCCCCTGCTAATACCCCTTGGATCTTATGTGGAGATTTTAATAATATCCTTAATCTTGAGGATAGAATTGGTTCTCAATGCTCTCTTGCTGAGGTGGAACAATTTAGTAATTGTTTAAGGGTCTATAGCCTTTTTGATTTCAAAGTTGGAGGTATGTTCTACACCTGGACTAATAAACAGGAAGGGGATGATAGAGTTTGCACTAAAACTGATAAAGTGATAGTGAATAATGGCTGGTTGACAAAGTTTCCTAATTTCTAGGCTGAGTTTCTTCCTGGGGGTCTTACGGAACATTCTCCCTGCTGTATGAATTTGGACAGTGCAGTTGGAAATGTTAGAAAACCTTTTCGATTTTTTAATATGTGGACTAAGGCTCAAAATTTCCTAGCTATTGTAAAGGATGCCTGGGACAGACCAGTTCAAGGTTCTGCTACGTTCAGGGTTGTTAAGAAGCTCAAAGTTGTCAAACAGGAACTCAAGGCCCTGAATCTAACTCATTTTTCTTCTATTGAGGGTGCTGATATTGCTGCAGGGAAACACTTAGTTGATATTCAAAGGAAGCTTAATGTTGATCCTAATAATGCAAGATTGAGGAATCAGGAGCATGAAGCAAGAGTGGCTTATAATAAAGCCCATACAACTAGGTTTATGTTATTGAAACAGAAAGCTAAAACTCATTGGTTAAAGGAAGGTGATGCTAATTCTAGCTAGTTTCATGCCTCTATCAGAAAAAGAAGAATTGAAAACAGAATTTGTAGTGTACTGGATCAGACTAGTGCTATGGTTAATGACCCTGAGTTGATTGCTTAGACTTTTGTTTCTTATTATAAGAACCTATTGGGGTCTGATATGGGTGATATTAGACAAATTCATCATTCTGTCATTAATGAGGGGCCTATCTTATCTGACTTACAGATGAGAAATCTTTGTAGGGCTTTTACTGAGGATGATGTAAGGAAAGCTGTTTAGAACATTGATGAGGATAAATCTTCTGGACGTGATGGTTTCACTAGTAAGTTCTTTAAAGTTTCTTAGGAAATTGTGAAAGAGGATGTGTTTCTGGCTTTGCTTTCTTTCTTTGAGCATGGGAAACTTCTGAAACAGGTTAATACCACATCCTTACCTCTGATTCCTAAGGTTACACAAGCTACTACTGTCACTTAGTTTAGACCTATAACACGTTGTAATGTGTTGTTTAAAATACTTTCTAAGATGATATGTACTAGGCTATAGGAGGTTCTTCCTTCTATTATTGGTGAGGAGCAGGGAGCCTTTGTTTCTGGAAGAATCATGCTTGACAGCATCATGCTTTGTCAAGATCTTGTTAAAGATTGTAAGAATATGAGGAAGCCTCTTAGGTGCACAATCAAGGTGGATATATGGAAATCTTATGATACAGTCAAATGGCCTTTTATTGAGAACATGTTGTCCGCATTGGGTTTTCCTGTCATGTTTATAAAATGGGTCATGGCTTGTGTTACATTTCCCACTTACTCAATAATGATTAATGGGGGTAGTCATGGTTTCTTTAAGGGAGCTAGAGGTATTAGACAAGGGGATCCCCTTTCACCCCTACTATTTATGATATGCATGGAATACCTCACCAGGCTTCTAAAAAAATAGGGCAGAAATCGAAGTTCAAATTTCATCACAGATGCAGAATTTTTGAAGTTGAACCATTTGGTGTTTGCTAATTATTTGATGCTTTTTGCTCATGGTGATAAAAGGTCTATCTCCCTTCTTACTAGGGCTCTTAAAACTTTTCATTTGGTCTCGGGTCTTCAAGCTAATGAGGAGAAAACAGCCATAATGTTTGGTAATGTTCAAGATACTGTGAAAGAAGAGATTTTGTAAAGATCAGGGTTTGTTGAAGGCCAATTTCCTGTCAAGTATTTAGGGATCCCTCTTAATTCTAAATTCCTTAAAGTGAGTGATTTTGATGTTCTCATTGATAAAATGCTGGCTAAGGTGCATTGCTGGTCTAGTAGACACCTGTCTTATGCTGGTAGAGTGGTCCTTCTAAATTAGGTCTTGATAAGTTTCTACTCCTTTTGGGCTTAATGTTTCCTGCTTCCCAAGAGTGTTATTGATAGAGTGTAGGGATATTTTATGGGATGATAGTACTTCTCTCTCCAAATGCCCCCCTATATCCTGGGAGTGTGTTTGTAAACCTAAGGATACAAGTGGACTTGGCATCAGAAACTGTTCACTGTGGAATAAGGCAGCTTTAGGTAAACAAGTTTGGAAAGTTTCCTGTAAGAAGGAATCTTTGTGGGTTAAATGGGTTTATGTTGTTTATATTAAGGATAAAAATTGGTGGGACTATGTGCCAAGTAAGGGATCAGGATGGGCTTGGAAAAGGATTTGCAAGGTGATGGATGAAATGAAAGCAGTATTTGAGTCTAAAAACTGGGTTGAAATTGGTTTTTCAATCAGGGAAGGCTATGAATGGCTACATGGTGACCTATCTGCTGTCATTTGGACTAAATGGATTTGGAATAAGTTCAATATTCCAAAACACTCTTTCATAGCTAGGAACCATTCCTATTGGCAAAAGGCTGTGATCCACCCTCAGAAACTGTGCAGGGTTATCAGACTGGAAGTTATTGGCAGAAGCCAGCAATTGATTAATAGTTCCTGGTCTAGAGCTCAAGTCAGATGGCTGTTTAAGCTTAAACAATCTGTTTAACTTTATGTTGGTTCTGTTTTATCCCTAGTCTCTGGTTGTATGGCTGTTTTCTTGTTGTTTTGTTTTCTGTGTTGTATGTTGGCCCTTAGGGGACGTTGTAGTTTGTTGATAAGGTTTTACTCCTTTTCCTTGTGCTAGTCCTAGTGTGGTGTGCCCTTCCTAGAAGGTGCCATTCCACTTGAGGCTAGTTTTCTCCCCTTCCTTTGTTTGATGCACCTTTCCTAGAAGGTGGCTTCTCCTAGGCTAGGGGTGGTTCTTTAGAGCTTACCTCCTTTTTGGTATTAATAAAATCTCTTACTTACCAAAAAAAAAAGAATAAAATAAATGTCAAACACATTCTAACATTTTTTTCTTATTCAAATGAAAGTTAATGCATTCAACAAAGCTAATTGAATCAAACGAAAGTCAAACACATTTAAAAAGAGCTTGATGAATCAAATGAAAGTCAAATGCATTCAACATATCTAATTGAATCAAATGAAAGTCAAATACATTCAACATAGTTAATTGAATCAAATTAAAGTCAAACACATTCAAACATTTTGTTTTTATTCAAAAGAAAGTTTAATGCATTCAACAAAGCTAATTGAATCAAAGGAAAGTCAAACACATTTAAAAAAATCTTGTTGAATCTAATGAAAGGTAAATGTCTTCAACAAAGCTAATTGAATCAAATTAAAGTCAAATACATTTAACATAGTTAATTGAATCAAATGAAAGTCAAACACATTCAAAAAAAGATTTTCAAATCCAATGAAAGTTAAATGGATTCAACTAAGCTAATTGAATTAAATCAAAGTCAAACACATTCAAACAAAGCTTTTTGAATCAAATGAAAGTCAAATGCATTTAACAAAGCTAGTTGAATCAAATGAAAGTCAAATGTATTAAACCAAAGATTTTTTAATGAAATGATGGTCGAATGCATTCAATAAAGCTTATTGAATCAAATCAAAGTGAAACAAATTCAAACGTAGCTTTTTGAATCAAATGAAAGAAAATTTCATTTAACAAAGCTAATTGAATTAAATAAAAGTTAACACATTCAAACAGTAATTTTTGAATTAAATGAAAGTCAAATGCATTCAACAGAGCTAATTAAATAAAATGAAAGGCAAATGCAATCAACAAAACAAATTGAATCAAATCAAAGTCAAACACATTCAAACAAAGCTTTTTAAATCAAAATAAAATTAAATGGCTTCAAGAAAGCTAATCGAATAAAATCAAAGTCAAACACATTCAAACAAAGATTTTTGAATCAAATGAATGTCAAATGCAGTCAACAAAGCTGTTTTAATCAAATAAAAGTTAAATACATTCAAATAATGGTTTTTGAATCAAATAAAATTTAAATGCATTCAACAAAGCTAATTGCATAAAATGAAAGTCAAAATGCATTCAACAAAACTAATTAAATCAAATGAAAGTCAATCACATCCAAAAAAAACCTTTTTGAATTAAATGAAAGTCAAATGCATTCAATTAAAGCTTTTTGAATCAAATGAAAGTCTAATGCATTCAACAATGCTTTTTGAATAAAATTAAAGTCCAGACAAAAGTGACTTGGGATAAATGGGTTTGGAACAGGTTTAATAGCCCTAAGTATTCCTTTATCTGTTGGTTAGCAGTCCAGGAGAGACTCAAAACCTTAGATAGGCTTCACTCTTTTGGCTGCAATCTAGATACCAACTATTTATTGTGTGGGGCTCCTCCTGAGTCTCGTAAGCACCTATTTTTTGAGTGCCCTTACAGTAGGAATTGTCTAAAAGTAATCACTAATTGGCTGGGATGCACTGAGAAACATTTCAATCTGATTGCCTCTTGGAAACATTGGTATAGACAGGGTAAAGACTTGATCCAAAAGAGATTTTATGGAGCTTCACTGGCTGCTTGTGTTTATTATGTATGGTTTGCTAGGAACCATGCATTATGGGAGAAGGCTGTGATCCTTCCTAGTCATTTGTGTAATTCAATTTGTCTGGAAGTAGTAAATAGAGTGCAACAGTTGATTGATCACTCTTGGTCCAGAAGTCACTGTAAGTGGATACAGTCACTCAAAAGCAGGTTGCCTAGCTAGCTGCTGCTGACTACTGTATGTCGGGTTGTGTGTGGTTCTGTGTTACAGGGCTGCTGTTCTGTTTCTCTCTTGGTGTGTTGGCAGATACTACTCGTTCTGCTTTATAGGGAGTTATGGCCTGCTGTGTTGCAATGCGTTGATCTGTAGTCTATTCCTGGTTGCTGAAGCCTTGAGTTGTTGTCTTCTTTTGCGTGCTCTGTGTTTCTGATTTGTTCGTTTGGGCTGCTGAGTGTTTGCGCTGTTGAGTTTTTGGTCTGTTTTGGCTGTTTTGTTTTGTGTAGCCTAGGAGTGTTGCAAGATCAGTTTATTTGGTCTGTCTTCGCTGATGTTGTTTCTGGTCAAGGCTGCTGTTATAGTCTGCCAGTCTTGTTTGTATCACCAGTTTTGGCTGGTTTCCTGTTTATCCGGTTGACTCATTTTTTGGAGTACAAAGTCCCCTGCTTTCAAGGGCCGCTTGTGTACCCGTTTGTTGTAGGCTCTAGTCATTCTCAGACAGTAGATCTCTTGTCGTAAGGCGGCGTTGCCCCTTTGCTCTAGAAGAGCATCCAGGGCAAGACGTATGGCCTCCCAATTGACCTCCTCATCATACAACATGACATGGAGAGTTGGTTCATAGTGCTCAATAGGGAGAACAGCCTTAGTGCCGTATGTCATAAGGAACGGGGTTTCACCGGTTTCCCCTTTCTCAGTTGTTCCGATAGCCTAAAGAACATGAGGCAACTCCTCTGCCCATAGGCCACCAGCCCTTTCAACTTTCCTCTTAATGTCGTCTAAGATACATGTAGACATGACTGATGAAATACACCAGGAGTTGATTGCCATTTCTCTCATCAAGGAGAACAACACTAAGGGAGTGATCTAAGACGGCTAGATACATGTAGAGAGCCTCCTGGGGTAGAGGGCTCACTGGCCTTGGTAAAGAATGCAGATGCTGCTTAAGCT